CTCTGCACATGATTCCAATCGGTACATTGATCTTCAATGTCGGTCTGCGTCCCGGCAAGGGCGGCCAGCTGTGCCGTAGCGCTGGTACTTTTGCCACGGTCATCGCCAAGGGTAGTGATGAGCAGGCCCGGTACGAGGAGAACCTGAAGAAGGATCAGGAGGGTGCAACTGAGAACAAGCGCGTGACTCAGAAAGAAAAGCAAAAGCGGGAGCGCATTGCTTCTCACATCACCATCCGCTTACAAAGTGGTGAAGTTCGACTGATCCACAAGGATTGTTGTGCTACTATCGGTGTTGCCAGCAACCCCAACTACCAGTACAGACAGCTTGGAAAGGCTGGTCGTTCTCGTTGGCTGAACATTCGTCCCACCGTCCGTGGTCTCGCCATGAACGCCGCTGAGCACCCTCACGGTGGTGGACGTGGTAAGTCCAAGGGTAATGTGGATCCCAAGAGTCCTTGGGGTATGCCGGTATGTATCCCCCATTCAATATACCCGGGATGTTTCAATTCGATTGGTTGGCTAACGTTCTTTTTCGTACAGGCGAAATCCGGTTACAAGACTCGTCCCAAGTGGAAGATCAACAAGGCCGTCGTCGTGCCCAGAGTTCGCAACCAGGGCAAGCGTCGCCGTGGATACAGCTAGACGCTCTATCATGTACATTTTGTTCTACCTTTCCCTCGATTTTCCCTCATGCGGCAAGCATCACGTTCGAAGTGTGACTATACTTCTCGATGGGAAAGGTGCTGGGGTGGGCACAGTCAGGATGCTCTGAATCACTTGCCCAAGGCCGCTTCTCATTTGCATTCGGTTGTATGTACTTTATTTCGTCTCCGGCATGGCTTTTCCTCGAGGGTTTTAGATATCTACTTTTGTTACACTGCTTTCCGTCCGGGTCTTATGGAAATGTCCACCTTCAAATTCTCTGGCGTTGTTTTTGTATACTATCACTACTACATGGTTAAGAAATCCAAGATTTACCTTTCATTTCAAGCGACGTCCTAATGATTGAGTACCAGGATGAGTAGAATCCGCATGGCGTTGCCCAATGAGAGAAGGTGGTCCTTGCTCATCTTAATAATAATGGTCGCCGTTATTGTTCCGCGAGTCGTGAGCGAAGAACAATCGATCTCCGGTTGAACGGCATTGCCAGAGGGACACTGATTTGTATTTGTTTTAAAGGAATCATTTGCATTCCGTTCCAGCAAAGAACACCTTCAGATCAGATCAGGGCCAAAAATCATCGACTCGCGGCTTTCCAGACGGCCGGTGGTGGCCAAAGTTACTAACCAGGAACGACTTCGAATCGACGATGCGCCTAGAAGCCTCCTGCTGACTTAGCGATAGTTTCACACTGACAGCGACATTTGACCTCTGGTCGTTCTTGTTAACCAAAAGCCAATGCCGGACCAACTTTACTACATTCCCTAGTTGTTTGTCCTGCGAATCGAGAGCCAGTCTCCTCCGACCGGTTCCGCTGTGTTCCTCTTTCTGCGTCATTTCTTTCCTTGCTTGTTCCTTGCACGCGCCTCCTCCGGCCATGACAGATTCGAACCGCCCCCCACATCAACTCTCCGATCCTCACCCTTCGTCATCCTCGCAAGACCTGCAGATTCCCTGTTCGACGCACGAGACCGGACACAGCGATGCAGACAGCCACTACGTACCGCGTCCGAAGCGCATTGCCTGCGTACTGTGCCGGAGGCGAAAGCTGAGATGCGACGGGAAGCGCCCCAGCTGCGGCACTTGCTCCCGTCTCGGCCATGAATGCGTTTTCGATGAAGTTCGCAAGAAAAGCGGGCCCAAACGAGGTTATGTGAAACAGTTGGAAGCGCGATTGGGTACGTTGGCTTCGGAGGACACAACCGATTCTGAGCTGCCCCTCCCCATAAGTACTGACATTCCACTTCCCACGTGCAGCGCAAGTCGAGAACCTATTGAAGAACCAGAAAACCAATCCACCACTAGACCAAGGGAGCGGCTTCCCCGGCGCAGTCACAAACCACCGAACCGATATCTCTGAGATCCTGTCTATCATCAATGAATCGAGCGACTTCCAGCAACACCATGATCGATTCTCCGACCCGTTCCCCGCTCAGGCGTTCCAGCAAGCTGGCCCGACCAACTCCCCGGACTATGGCATGCAGATGATAAGTCTTGGCCTGGAGGAGCCTCTTCCGAGTCAAGAGATTATTGATGAGCTGTATGTCTGCAGTATAGCATCTCTTGCTCCCGTGTTCACTCTCTCACTCTTTCCAACAGAAATGAGATATACTTTGAGAAAATCCATCCTGGGATTCCCATACTACACCGTCCCAGGCTACTGGCGGCCATGAGCCTTGGCCCCAGCACACGTCCCCCGTTGTGCTTGCAGTATATCATGTGGAGTCACGCGGCATCCATCAGCGACAAATACTCCAGCTTGCATTCGGTATTCTACGAGAGAGCCCGCAAATACGCCGAAGCGGACGAACTGAAAGGACTGGGCGAACATGCGGTGTCTCTAGGTCACTGTCAGGCTTGGGTGCTCATCTGTACCTACGAGTTCAAGATGATGTTTTTTCCTCGAGCGTGGTTGAGTTCTGGGAAAGCCGCAAGGCTGGCTATCATGATCGGGTTGAATCGGGTCGATGGGGAAGGTATCGACGTGAAGCAAACATTGACTGCTGCAAAAGACTGGAATGAGAAAGAGGAGCGACGGCGGGTATTCTGGATGGCGTATTGTGCCGACCGGTTTGCGAGCATTGGCACTGGGTGGCCTGTCGTTTTCGACGACAGAGATGTGAGTTACGACCTAATGCATGTGTGCTCAAAGAGAACGTCCATACTGATATGGCCCTACAGGTTTTGACCAACTTACCAGCCTCTGAAGAGGCTTTCCTCAAGAACCAGCCCCAAGAAACAGTATCTCTAGAAGCTGCGCACGCGGGAGAGGGCATGCCTACCCTGTCTGCTTTCGGGGGTGTGGCCTTCATGGCCAGCATCTTTGGCAAGAACCTCGCCCATCTCCATCGGCCTAATCCACACGATGACGATCACGACCTCAACGGAGTCTATTGGCAGCGACACAGGTCCCATGACAACATTTTGCTCCATTTCTCTCTCACCATGCCTTCTCATCTGCGATTATCTGTTGGGACAACCGATCCCAACGTCATCTTTTGCAACATGGCCATCCACACAGCCACTATCTGTCTGCACCAGGCGGCTATCTTCAAAGCGGAAAAGAACAAGATGCCAGGGCCCATTGCCACGGAAAGCAAGAGAAGATGTATCTTGGCTGCGGAGCAGATCTCGAACATCTTGAGGTTGAGCAGCCATGTCGATCCCAGCAAAGTGAGCTTGAGTTCAAATCCAAGGCTTAACCCAGTCCGCGTTAACATATTTTCAGATGAATGTTCTCACACCGTTTTGCGTGTATGTTGCGGCACGCGTCTTTGTACAATACTTGAAATTCCGGCCCGACGACTCGGCCGCCCGCTCATCCTTACAATTCGTCTTCTCCGCACTCCACCTACTGAAGACCAAGAACCCGCTCGCGGAATCGTTTATTTTTCAGCTGGATCTCGATACCGCAGGTACGGTGTTGTCCGACTTCAATCAGTCGAAGAAAGCATGCTTCATGAGAGCGGGTCTGCAGCGAGATGCGGTAAGCGCCGGCCCTTTTCTTTGAAACCTCATAGAACCATTGAGTACTAATCGGACTGCCCTCTCTAGGCATTCACCGAGAGACGCTACTCCAGCGATTCATCCCTACTGAACGCCAGCCAAACACGAGTCCAACCTGACCCAGACCCCTTCGACGCATCGCAAGGAAGCTGCGACTCCAGTTCCCGGTCCTCTTCAGTCGCGCAGCAGATCCGCCTCGAAGTCCGCCAAGCCAACCCCTCGCTGAGTGACGCAGCAGCAGCAGCCCACCGGCGCAAAAGACATCGCACCCAACAACAACAGCCCCCGACGTTCGGAGACGAGATCCACACCCCGGACCGAGACCTGAGCCATCCCGTGGTCGTCGACTACAGCGGCGGCAGCAGCAGTGTCGATCTGCGCACCGACTCGCTCTCCCCGGATGTGCCCTCCTCCTCCTCCGCCACCTCGTCGTACACGCGACTCAGCCCCCAGCAGCCGCCCGGGCTCGTCGCCAACAACAGCTTCATCGCCACCCCAGCCAGCTCCCTCGATGCGGCTGCCGCAGCTTGCAACACCAACTCGACCGCAGCAGCAAATCTCATGTTCGCCAATCCGGCGATCCCACTGGACGCTGGCGGTGGGTATCCCGATGTCTTCACCGGGGTCCCGCGATGGGACGTGAATGCGCTCGCGTTCTCGGGGCTCGATGGGTCCACCCTGGACAACAGCATGTCCGGCGGCCTGGACGGTCTCAGCGAGGCCCAGTGGGCGCAGCTTCTGACCACGAACTGGGACGCCTACCCGGATCCGAATATTCTGCCTTGAGAGAAATCCATTTACATATACACAGTTCCTGGGGGAAAACAAACAGAATGATGATCAATCACTATATAGAGCCGCTGGGCGGGAAATATCACGAGACTCACGAATTGTACATTGATGTGTGAGGTGGGGGGTATGATACTGAGTTGAGTTAGCATTTGGACATACCATACCCCATGAGATCATCTGTGTCAAGAATCAATATCGCCAATGCGTCCTACATCTTCGTAAACTTATACTAAGCTTTCGTGAAGTACTTCTCTATACTTTTTACAGAATAAGTCTTGTGACATTCGTTCCGTATCCGCAACTGTAAAAAAAGAAATGCAAAGTGAAAGAGAGCAACCAAGAACCATATGCGACCAGCAACCAGCAAACATGCCTTGACAACACAACACCGTAGAGACGCCTTGAAAATGGAAGACACCAGGGTTGGTTTGGCACGATAACCCTCTTACGATGGAGGGACATCATACACTGACAAACCCACAATTGTCTCTCGACAACACAACATCATAACATTCATCTTCTGAGCAGCAGCAGCAGCAACTACAAATTCCCGCCCGCCGCGCCGACGATCCTCAACCCACCATGGCCACTCCCATCGGCGGTGGTGGAGTATGCCAGCCAGTACCGCGAGGGATGCCAGGCGACGGCGGGGATGCCGGAGTTGGCGTTGCCGCCGACGGGGACGGTGTAGACGGACTCGCCGGTCTCGGCGTGGAAGACCTCGAGGCCGTTGCCGCCGCAGCCGACCTCGTCGCAGGCGCCGACGAGGAAGCGGCCGTCGAAGCTCCAGCTGACGCCGCGCACGGCGCCACCGTTGCTGCTGGAGACGGTGCGGCGGCAGATCCAGTCGGTGGTGTCCCACAGCGAGATCAGGGCGTCGCTGCCGCCGACGGCCAGGTAGCGGCCCGTCGGCGCCAGCGCGATGGACAGGCACGCCGAGGTGTGCGCTTGCAGCGTGTGCAGCAGGGAGAAGCTCGGGTACGACAGGATCTTGACCGTGCCCTCGCCCGTCGTGGCGAAGAGGTGCAGGTCCGGCGCGGCGGCGGTGGCGATGTGGTGCGAGAAGGTCGTTGCGTTGGTCTGCACGGGTTGTTGGTGGGGTTCGAGGGCTCGGTAGATGCTTGTTGCAGGGGTTGTTGTTGCTGCTGCGGCTGTGGGGGGTTTGTCGGTGAGGAGGGTGGTCGTGGGCGTCGGCGTGGAGAGGGATTCAATGGAGATGGGGATGAGGGTGTCGTCCTGGTGGGTTGAAGTGCTCGTCAGTAAGTCGGTGTGTTTGTTGTTGTCGTTGCAGCAGGGCTATACCAACCTTTCTCCCCACGATGAGGGTGCTGCCATCCGCAGACCAGGACAGCGTGAACGCCTCCGTGCCCACGTCCAGCCGGCTCACGCACGTCTTGGACCGCACATCCCAGAACCGCACCGTGCCGTCCGTCGAGCAGCTGGCTAGCTCCGAGTCCCGCGTGGGGTTGAAGACGACCTTCTCGATACCGGCCGTGTGGCCGCGCAATTCGGTGGAGTATTTGACTTGCGAGCGCTCAGGGTTCCAGATTCGGAGGGTGCGGTCGGCGGACCCAGTTGCAACTAGCTGGCCCGTGGGGTTCCAGGCGATTGTTCGGATACTGTGTGTGTTCAAATGCCGTCGGCTCGTATCAGTAGGAGTTCTGGATCCATGATGCTTTCATTGCTTCATGTCGTCGTCGGGGGAGCGGAGCGGAACACGCACGTGTGAGATCCCGGTCCACGCGCAACAGGATCATGGTAATTCTGAGTCTTTAGACTCCCAAAGTTGAAGGCAAATCGGTCTTTGGGGAGGAGGTTCCGGCGGGGAGGAGGGGGCGCCATTGCCGACTGGACGGTGGTGCTGCGATGCGGTCGCTGCTGCGGTGCGGGCACTGGCAGATTTGCGATTGCGGCGGGCTGCCAATCCGATGAGAAGCCCCGAGGGGCTGTTGTTGGTGGAGGTTGGAGTAATATTCCACACACGTAGACGAGGGGCAACCGGGCAACGGGCTGTGGCTTAAGTTGAGTCAGGACAATTGCAATTGAGAGAGTGGGAGGTTTGGCAGAAGGAAGAGGATGAGGAGCTGGAAAGTGAGCTCGAAAGTGCCGCGACGCGGAGTTCCAGTTGCGACTATCATTGCCCGCATCTCGGTGATTGGTCGGATCCCGGAGCTGTATCTTTATATGCGCATGCAGTAACTTATAGTATGTTCTTGAGACTGCAGCTCATGCTCTGTCTTCAAGTACTCCTTCCTATCGACTTTATCGCAGGGACACTCATCAAGGCTAATCCATTCCAGGCTGTTACTGACCATTCATTAGTTCTTTCCGTCAATTCGATTCCAAGCAATCCCATACGTAGTCACGGCGGGATCAGGTCAGGTGACCGACGAGGCCATGGATTGAATCCCTTCTCTCCAGGAGATATACTTGGGTTCTCAGCCAATAGTACAGAGGAGTCACGCTACAATACTTTCCATCTATTTTCACTGCTACTGGTACAATTTATCCGGGCTGTATAGCGGATCATCTCCGTGATCTCCTCACCAGCGAAACTGAAGGGAGCGATAAAACTCTCCGGGCTGGATCGCATCCGAGCTTTTTTCAATCGTTCAAATCGACAACAATCGCTCTCAACTCGTCTCGATAAACCTTCTACGTCATGTTAGAATTCAACGACGATGCGTCCAGGCGCGAGAAGTGCTTCACCAGCCTAGGACAGCTGCCGCCATTCATCGATCCTAAGCAGCCACCGACAAGAAAAGTCCCGTTCTCGGCCATTCTGGGCCATCCTTTCGTCCATACAGTATGTCCACCCACAACATAATGGAGCATTACTAACAACATCACCAGGTTGAAGTCACCTTACCAAAAGAGGCATACACGACCATCCAAACATCCTTGGACAGCAAACTACAGAAGCTCCGCTATGCGAGGGTGTTCATGTCCCTGTCGTCTCTACTGGAGACGGAATTCTTCAACACCTACATCAAGAAAGGTGGATTGCATTCTCACTCAGTGGTGGCTTAACTGTGCTGACTGCTTTCGCAGGAAACCTTCTTATGATCTCGGAGGGCCGATCAGGCTCAGACAGCGTCTTCACGCTCCGAGATGGTAGGCTTCCGCCTCAGCTCCGTCTGATTCCATGTCCAAACAAAGCCCACTAATCAAACCCCCAGGCATCTTGAAGCTTGAGCTCAGCAGGGAGATCTTCGAACGAACCGGTCTAACCGGCAAGCCCATCCGCAGCGGCGGCAGGAAACACGCGAAAGAGCGATACAGTACGGCCTCCCTCTTTCCAATGCCAATCAACCATCCAACCAACCCTCAACCTCCCTTGAAAGCAACGGAAGAAGAGGCTAACCCTCGAACCAGTCATCGAGCTCAACCTCCGCTTACCATCGATGCTCCACGGCAAGAAGGGCTTCAAGCGGATCGAATGGGCCTTCCAAAACGTCCTTACTCAATCCGTAGCCTGGCTCTTCTTCGACCTTTCATCCGAGACTAATGGCATCGCCGACGGTACCCCCAACCCTCTTTCCCCCCTTCCTAAACCGAACCCTATCCTCGAAGCATACTGCATACCGCAAAGCTAACACACCAGCACCAGACGACCTATCCCTCAAAGGCAACCACCCGCAAATCATCCGCTGCACGCCCGCCATCACCGAACACCCCCAAATCCTCGTTCCGCCTCTCGACACCCTCAAACTCATGGACCCATCCCCCCCCGCCACCGCCACCGCCACCACCACTGCCCACCAAGAGCAATTGCAAAACCAATGCGCCGAGATCTCCGAATGGCTGGCGATGGTCTCCCTCGCCTCGCCGCGCGTCACCGCCGCCGACGACGTGGACCCGTACCTGAGCCGCTACAGCGTGCCGGACGCGGACGGGGCCACACCGACCGACCTCGTGACTCTGCGGTGGCGCGGCCTGATCCCTCCCAAATGGATTGTGGGGTTGCTGGTGCATTTACTGTACGTTTTTTTCTGGGAAGAATTCCGGTTCCCCACTCCCACTCCCCAAAATCACCTGTATAAGAAACGGCTACTGACTCCTGTGGTGGTAGGCGCGAGACGGCTGCCGGTGGCTCTGCGGCCTCATCGTCCGCTTGGTTTGCTATCTCGGCGAATGCGCTGGGCCGGGAGGCGGTGGAGGCTCGGGATGGGTATTCGCTGTTGGTGCTTCCGGCGTTGATGCCTGCTGCGCCTTCGGGGAGGGGCGAGGATGATGCGAACGGGGGCAAGGATGCGATTGCGGCTGCTCGGCGGATGGGACGGCATTTTCTTAGTTGGGAGTTTGTGGGGGCGTCGGTTCTACAGTAACGGGGTTGATGTTCTGGAAACCGTTGGAAAAGCGTAATTGATTATACCCCCCGTGTTGGAGAACGTTATATCCAGATAAGAAGGTTTATGCTGCATGTATAGAGATGGCCACTTATGAGGTCTGAACATGCCGATGATGAGGTGATATCAGATCCATACCCCCAAAAAAAGAGATTCAAAGGAAATAACCCCAGTACTTCTGAACACACTCCCTGGTCCCAATTTCCACAAACTCATACCCAATAAATAAAACCCCAACGCTCATATGATATCTCTTTTTAAGCCAATGCATATCACAAAAACACAACACAAACACAAACAAATCATCCGACCAGGTCATTGACCACATCCTGCAGCACCGGTCGATTTCCAAGGACCTTGTTCCCACTCATCAGTTTTGCCCCCTTCTTGGCCGGTTTCCTCAGACCCTGTGGCGTGAGTCGTGCCTGCACGGGACTCAGCGGTTTGCGGACGCCGGACTTTCGGCCAGCAGCAGAAACGGGGGAGCTCTTTTTGGTCGGACTCGGCGTTGCTGCGGCTCTTCCATGCACCGACGAAGCCTGCGTTGAGCCCATGAGGTTGTCGGATTCGAAGACGTGGTTCTCGAGGGCATTCTTCGGCAGGTCGTAGATCCACCCGCGGTCTTGGACCAGCTTCACGTACTTGCCGAGGAGCTCGTTGCCGTCGCGCAGGGTGCTCTTGCTGCCGACCACGAGCAGCTTGGTGCGGGCGCGGGTCAGGGCGACGTTGACGCGGCGCCAGTCGCGGAGGAGGTCGCCGACGTGGTTGTCGGCGTTGCTCCGGACGCAGCTCAGGATCACGATCTCCTTGTCTCGGCCCTGGAACTTGTCGGCGGTGTGCATCTCGAGGTCCGGGAGGTGACGGCTGAGGTTGAGCTTGAGGAGGGACAGTTGGCTGCGGTAGAAGGTGATGACCCCGATGCTCCGGGCGGAAATGCCGCAGGAGATGAAGGCCTCCACGAGCTGGGTGCAGAGCTTGGCCTCGGTCGGGTTCACAATCCGGGAGCCGTTGGTTTCGTCCAGCGCAGGCGCGAAAAGGGTGTCTGTATTGACCAGGCGGGTCTTGGCTGACGGATCCACGAGATCGCGCAGCCAGCAGCGGCCTTGGCTTGTACCCAGGCAGATCTGTTTCTGATTTGGAGTCGGGGGAATCTGGCTGTGGTGATGCTGCTTGATCCCGTTGATGTTGGGGATTTTCAGAGAGCGTACGGCAACTTCCGGGGTACCGCACTTGAGGTGACCTGAGTAGATGAGGTTGTTGGAAAGAAGCATGATGTCTTCGCACATGCGGTATTGATGCTCCAGGTTGACAACCGACTCTGGATGGGCATCGGAAAGTAGCTTGAAAAGACTGACATCGAGACCACCTTCTTGAGCTTCTTTGTTCTGCACCAACGGCGGTAGCTGATAGTGATCACCGACAAGGATGAACGTCCTTGCCATTCGGATCGGGCCTAGACACACAGGAAGTGTGATCTGCGATGCTTCATCCACAATACAATAGTCGAAGATTCTCTGACTGAAGATACCGTGGCTGACCCCGAGGCAGGTCGTTGCTACCACCTGCGATTCCTCGTACGATGCCTTGAGCTCTTCAATGGTTTTCTTCGGAATGGCCGCGAGGTCAGCAAATTGCTGCACATCTGGATGCACCTTCGTAGGAGCACCGACGCGCAAAATGCGGAAGTTGTCATCCCGGATCTTCAGCAGAATATTGTCAACAGCAGTATGGGTATAAGAAGTGAGCAGAACACTTTTCCCTTGCGCGACTAAGGCGCGAATTATGTGGGCAATGGTTGTCGTCTTTCCCGTTCCAGGCATTCCAAGTACCAGCGCATAGTCTCGGGCACTCATGACTTTGTCGATCGCTTGTTTCTGGTCGACGTTCAAGTTCGCCTTGGCAACACCAGGCAGTGCATAGCCTGGCTCCATGGGTTTAAAGGAAGGTGCTTCACCCTCGATAATCAATCTCCGTAATTGCTTGGCTTGAAAAAGGTCCTTTTCCATCATGGAAACAAGGTTTGTGCGGACAATCGCCATACCGTTACTAAACTCATCCTTGTCTAGGCGATAAATAGTTTCTTCGTCCAATTCGACTGGCGGGGAGGAAACACCTTCGTCAAGTATCTCCATGATGCCTTTGAAAGACTGGTTGTGTTCGACGTCGAAGCCCTTCATCCGCGTCCTGCCGTGTAGCTTTCGATCAACCGTAACGGTGATGCGTTTCGCGCTGACCTGAACAACATAACCATTTGCAAGGGCAAAGTGGCCTTTCTCGTCGGAAACCACAATCGGCTCGCCTATACTGAGCTGGGATTCAGTGAAGGAGAAACCCGGAGGTGCTTGCTTCTTGCGGAAAGTGTATCGAAACCGGTTGATCTTGGGTCCATCCTTATCTTCATAGGTATGGTCAGGATCGATCACAACATCGCCGAAGCAGCGGCCGAGAGCTTCGCGCTCACTACTCAACAGAGTCCAGAGTTCGCGTTTGAACCTTGTCATGCTTTGTTCCTCTTTGGTCAACAATTCATCCCATTTCTTGAAAAACTCCTGGTGTTGTGGATTCAAGTGTTGGGTAGCTTTAACGAAATCGTCACCAAGACCACTCGTTTCTCCATCACCGTTATCAGCAAGCTTGTGGTAGATGAAGCAAGCGGTCTTCGAGTAGCACTTGTTACAAAATGCGGCCTTCTTGACCATTGGAGGCAGCTGTGTTCTTTGGCGCATGTACCCGACCACACGGTTTCGTTGTTGAATCATTTGGAGAAGCTCATGTCGAATGCCACGGATACGGATAATCTTCGATGTCTCAAGATAGTACAATAAGCCGAACGTGCAATCGACGTCTAGGGAGTCAAAGGATAGTTAGCGATCAGATTCAAGATGAGGTCACATCAGAATTCCATAGGTGTTCCAGCCTACCATAGCGGTCAGAAAGGAGCAGTGTGTAAAGCGCGGTTTGAGCCCGATGAGCTTGGTTTGTATCTCGGTTACCCGTCTTCAGTTCAAGAGGTACAACCAACGTTTTGTCCTGCCCTTGCTCTGAGCAGGCAACCTGAACCGTGGCATCGATATTGCCCTTGAGTCCGTACATCGGGGACCAAATATGCTCTTCAACCTCGAGGAGCTTATTTATACTCAAGCTAAGCTTGGAGTTATGTCGATCCTCGACGATCGAGTCCGCCTATGTTCAATTGTCAGCATTGCGCCTCACTCGGAGGGAGATTGCACTCACGCTTGGCTTCAGCTGGAGAAAGCGTTCTGCCCAATCCTGCACGCCTGGAACTCTGCTCATAACATATTCGATGGCTTCCGCGACGGTCATGCGGATCAAGTATAGATCCTCGATCCGCTTGACGATCACATCCTCCACCAGTAGCCTCAACGAAGCCGTATCCCATCGGTTAACCTTAATAGCTTCTTGGAACAGCTCGTGGAATATGTTGCCAAAGACCTGTGCTTTCCCCACATCGGTTGTGTTTTTAATGCGTTCTTGAAGGGCAGCACGACGCTGGCAAGTGATCGAATCGGCCACGATAGTCGCCGATACGAGGTGATCCGGATGAAGTATCACCATGTTAGCAGTATCGTCAACTACGCATTGACCTGCGGCGTCAAATTCTCCGATCAGATGAATATACGATTCCTTGGTACACGGGCTATCGAACCAGGACTCCCGAAGAATAACCACTTTTTTGTCTTCCTTAGCCCGCTCATCTTGTACGAGTAGCACCTGTTTACAGTGTCAATAATGGGGGCTTTGAGGGCGTGCAGTGGGCTGACCTGTTCTGGTTGGACACGTCCTCTGGGGTTGGTATACGCTGACTCCGCAATATCAATAATCAAATAGCGCTTAATAGCTTGCCGACTTCTAAGGTTCTAGAGTAGGTATACTTAGCATATTTATAACGAGCATTGATTCACTAGGAGAGACAAACATGATCCGTTCCATCTACTCCTGATTGCCTCATAGAATGTTCGATAGCATCCATGTCTAAGCTACCATCGTCAAACTCATCACCAGAGGAAATGTCAGGATCCTTTCTCGTCTCATTGGATGTTCCAACTGCCGATGCAAAATAGCGCTGAGGCCCAGTGCCGGACAGCGGCTGTTCCGGCACATTTGGCCCTTTGGGTATGGGCCTTGCAAGTTTCACGCTTGGCGTCTTGTCACACTCGGCAAGAAGATCTTCTATATTGTCGGAAAAATCATCATCAAAGTCATCATCGAATTCATCACCGTTAAGTTCGAACTCGTTTTCATTTGTCATGGTCACATCCAGTTTTGAAGTGGCTGTGCCGGTAGTAGCAAAAGTCACCCTCTTCTGGAGGAGGGGAGCCCCTCCATTCGGCGGCATTGACGTCGAGGTGGCAGGCTGGATATCTTCTGCAACATCGCGCGACGGGTTGGTATCCACGAAAGGATCCATCGAAGCTTCTGCAAGTTCAAGAAAGTCATCATCGAAGTCATCATCTCCATAGTCCGAAGACAAGTCGTCGACAATTTCTGCAGTCTGCGGCGCGTTCTCAGCCCCTACGGAAACAATCGCGTTATCAGTCTTCTTAGGAGAGCTGCTAGGACTTCTGCCGTCTGTTGGGGACGCCAGATGACTTTTGGATGCGTTACCGCGCTTTGGTACGGGAGAAGAGTCTGGCGCAAATGATCTTTCAGGAACCTTTTGTAGAGTCTTTTCCATCTGCCTAACGAGAGTGCTGAGGTTGGAGGCTTGATTGTTGCCCGAATTGACGACATTGCTCCTTGTCCTAGAGAAGATGCTGCGACCCGTACCGAACCTTTCGTTATCGACTCTTTTGCGCTTCGCCTTGGAAGTAGGCCATTCGGCATTGCAGCTATTCGACCGTCTCAGCCCGGACGAGCCTCGACCCGTTCGGGCTGATACAGGTGTCTGTGGGGAAGATGAAAGCAAATGCGCAAATCGTGGTTGAGGGAGCTCGCCAGTACCATTGGCAAGGGACTTGCCCACATAGTTGTTCCATAGTTCGGTGGCAAGGTCATGCTGGGGAGTTCTGATCAAGGATTGGTCGTTTGGCAAGTCAATCGATTCTCTCCGCTTGCTTTTCGAGGTTGCTGCCAAGGGAGAACTCGTTGGCGACGAGTTGCGGCGACGTTTCTTGCCGTGCAATGCAGGTGTTTGTGACATCGGATCGGCATTGGAGCTCGCGGGGGCATGTTGCCAGGTGACGTAGTCTTCGGGCGTAAACTCTTGCCCCGGGGCACTATTGAACGCATCCTCGGCATTGCTGATTAGATCTGCGAGGGGTATTCGATTTCCTGGTGTTTGGGGACATTCTCGGATAGGCTTAGGTTCAGTTACTTCAATCGTAGGTGGGTTGATATCCGATTCTGGTTGCTGTTTTTCCACGACACCATTCAGCCACGATGTTTGATTCTCCTTGTTGGCATGGTCTGTTGTTGCCGGCTTCTGAGGGGTCTTGTCTAAAGTTTGAGCGTCTTTGCTGTATCGAAAAGCGTTCAATTTCGAGCGGGATTGCGAAGATATTTTGTATGCTCCTGGAGGTTTGTTCATGGTGTTCATTGCTGGTTGTGATCGTGGAGTCGGAGATTAAGCCGACATCGCGATCACGGAAGTCTGAACAATATCTTCAGCAACGGAGCGGAGCGATGGATAACGATGGACAGCGCAGAAAATGGAGCTGTAGATTGCACCTACATTCAATGGGCAATTGATGGATTCTTGCTGAGTAAAGTGGTAGAAGACGAAAACTGGAGCAGTCGATGTAGATTCAACATAACTTGGTAGATGCAAGTGCAATGAATGCACGCACGATGCGATAAGCCGATCGATCTGATTAGTCCTCAACGCGTCGCGCGTCGAGTGTTCCTGCCTCAGGTGTAACTCCCGTCTACACCTTTGCCTGCGATATCAGGCAGAAAGGCGGTACAGGAAATTTGCCCAGTTGGGACTAGTGGCTGGAACCCCAGCAAGTCATCGGCCTTTTGCGGCTTCTGAACATCAACCGCTCGACCGACTCGTCACCCCTCCACCTAGCTCTTCCTACCGCTCAGACGAAAGAATTCGATCTCGAAGTCGCCCAATTGACTCCATTATTACCATCGCTGGTCGACCGGATTGTTGAACTCGGTGTCCCGTGCCATTAGCCCTTGCTTCATCGCCTCAGACAGGGATCCTCACCCGCCACCGCCTGTCCCATCTTGTGCAGCTTGAGGTCTCCCAAACCTCCACAGTCATACGCCACATTCACAATGTCTGCTCGCCCATTGTCGTCTTGCCTTCGCGCCCGGTGCTCTACCCTCCGGGCTCAGAATGTCCAGGGTTTCTCGACCCGCAGCAACCTCCGTGCCGCCGACCACGGTGACCACTATGATCCCCCGACTGGATACCTCTTTGGCCTAAAGCCTGGCCAGAAATATCAGAAGGAAGGCTGGGAGAACATCTGGTACTACGGATTCATCGGCAGTCTGCTAGTCACCGGCGTCGCATATGTTTTCAAGCCCGACACCTCGTGCGTCCAACCCTCGCCCAGTGCCCCCA